CCCATAGCCCAGCAGGTCGAGACTGCGGTGGCTGGGAGCAGCCACTGCACTTGGTCTGGGTGACAGAGTGAAACTCCAACTCAAAAATAAATAAATAAATAAATTAGAATCAAAAGCAAAGATATCTGGAAAAATTCTCAAATATAGAAATAAAAAGCATTCTGCTAAATAATCCATGGTCCCAGTCATTCAACTCCTAAGTATTTTTCTAAGAGAAATGAAAGCATATATATATCAATACAAAGACTTGTAGATGAATGTCCATAGCAGCTTTATTTTAATAGTTCCAAGCTAGAAAGAACATGAATATCTATCAACAAGTGAATAGACAATTGTGATATTTCCATACAATGGAATGCTATCTGGCAATAAAAATGGATGAAATAGGAAATACTGTAGTTGATTCTCAAAGTAATTATGCTTAGTGAAAAAAGTCAAACAAAAAAGGGTACATACTATGCAATTCTATTTCATTCTAGAAATTCTAGAAAATGCAAACTCATGGTGACAGAAAGCAGATCACTGGTTGTCCTAGACAAAATGTTAAAGGTATGCATACATGCAAAATAAAACTCACATACAAAAACACATACAAAACACATTAGAATGATTTATTTCCTAAACTGGAAGAAAAGAAAATGGCAACAAAGACCAGAGGAAGAAAAGGCAGTTCATAAATAAACAAACAAATTTAAGAATCACAGAGAAGGACTTTACATGGAGTAGAGGAAAAAGAAAGAAATTTACTCTGCTAGAATAGTACCCTTTTAAAGACAGTAAATTCTTTAAGTTTCAAAAAACTGAATACAGTAGAAGCTTCAGACCACCAATCATATGAATGAGGAAATATTTAAAAGTAAGGAGTCTCTCCTGGCATCCCTGAAATAACTCAAAACTCCACATATTCATTTAACAAATATTTACTGTGTGCCAGCTCCTGTTCTCAAGACCAATAATTTTTTTTATTAAAAAATTTTTTTAGAGATGGAGTCTTACTCTGCTCAGCTTGGAGTACAGTAACACAATTATAGCTCACTGCAGACTCGAGCTCTTGGGTCCAAGTGATCCTCCCATCTCAACCTCCCAAGTACTGAGATTACAGATGCCAACCATCAAGCCTGACTATAGTTTTCCCGATAGTCACTCATTACCTTCATTCCCTGACCCTACCTGCTGGCGCTTCCATCTTGATTGCTGTTGCAGAAGAACCAGTTGTGATTCCCCAAGGGTCTAAACTGGAATCTATCTTCCCTCCTTCTTCAATGTACTCTACAGTACCAGTGCTCTTTTGCTTTGTTACTTGTGCCTGAAGCATTCGTGCTTGAAGCTGTTTTGAGGCCTCATGAAATGCCATTTCCATTCGAATATCATTGTTTTGAATTTCATAGTACAAACCTGAGGAAAAAGATGTTGAAATAATATGACTGATTTCTTAACATCATTGCAATATTTCACTTACTTTTCCCATATTTTAATCAAAGTTCAAGAATTTCATGATGAGCCGTTGAAGAGTAAAAAGAGAACTAGAGACTCTTATAATGAAAAAAACAAAACACATTCAGATCACAGGAAAATGCCATACCAAGCAAAGTCCAGGCTACAACATTGGTTGGTTCTAAGCAAGTGGCATCCTCAAAGAAAATTTCTGCTTGCGCATAGTTCTCCATCAAGACGGCCAGGACACCACAAAGCAGCAAGCTGAAAAGAGACCACCAACATAGCTAACAACAAGGCCCATGTCACACTTAGGAACCAATTTCACATAGAAGCTTAGCTGCTTCTTCCTGCTCATTCCTCATCTCCCTTCTCTCAATACCTGTGGATGTGATTCTGGTTGAGGGCAAGAGCTTTCCGAAAACACTCTTGTGCTTTAATATTGTCTTCGGTTAGAAGGCAGAAAGCACCATAGTCCAGCCAGTGATCCAGGTTCTGGGACTCACGAGCCAACCTCTAGGCACACAAAGCATCAGGAGAGCTATTGTGACACTATGTCTCATTTTTAAGACATATACCATCACACAGTAAACGCTCTATAAATACTGTAAATTCTACAAAAGAGATCATGACATCCTATTTGCTTACCTCTAAATTCCAAACACCTAACACAATTACTGTCTGGCTTTTAGTAGGTGTTAGGGGGAAAAAAGCTTTGAAATAATTTAAAAATTGAATCAACAATTCAATTAACTTCCTAGAGTTAATATTCTGGTTCCCCTAGACTTGTCTAACACCTTGGCAGCCTAAAGATTCATTTTATGGTATATCAACCATATACAATAATTTCTGCTATAGTACTGGGAAGGCAAATATAAGTTTATCTATAAATATGGGGAAAAAGCATCTTAGATGAAAACCATAAAAATTGCAAAGACATAAATAAATGGAAAGATATCCATGTTCATAGACTGAAAGACTTAATATTGCTAAGATGTCAATACTACCCAAAGCAATCTACAGATACAGTGTGATCCTTATCAAAATCCTATTGAAAATCCTCAAAAAGTTACAGAATTATCATATGTTCCAGCAATTTTTTTCAGATTTATAGCCCAAATAATTAAAAACAGGTACTCAAACAAGTGCTTATACACTAATAACTTTGAATTGTGAAAGTTATTTATATTTTTTATATTCTGGATATAAATCCTTTGTCATATATATATGTTTTACAAATATTTTCTCCTAATCCATACTTTTCTTTCTCTTATGTCTTCCATAGAGTAAAAGTTTTTAGTTTTGATGAAGTTCCATTCATCGCATTTTTCTTTGATCAATCATGCTTTGGTATCATATCTAAGAACTCTTTATCTAACTCTAGGTCAAGATTTTCTCCTATATTTCTTCTAAAAGTTTTATAGTTTTATGTTTTACATTTACATATATGGTCCATTTGGAGTTGACTTTTGTAAACTGTTTAAGGTTTAGCTTAATTATTTTTTTGGCAAATGTTCTAACACTATTTAAAAGACTATTTTTGTTCTCTTCTGTTTTATTGTTCTATGTTCCTACCCTTTACCAATCAAGTTTGAATTTAAACAATCAAAAACTAGTGTTTATTATACACATATTTCATAATAACAGTAACAACAATCTCTGGGACGATGTTGGATTACCTCTTTATAATACACTGCTGCCATTTCAAAGTTCTCATTGACTTCTGCTTCAAATGCAAAAAGTCGAAGCTGATCACTGCTTGTATGAATGGTTGGAATAGTGCCTTGGACATCATCTGGCATGGTCTTGTCAACGTCAAGATGTTAGACAGACAAATGAAGCAATTACAAGTAGAGAGGTTTTATAAGCATCGATCAGATGTGAGAGCGAGTCACGATGTCTAAAATGATATTGAAGGTTCTCACAGTCTTGTCAATAAAGAGAGCAAGAGCGAACCAAAAGAGAAGTATCAAGTATGAAGGAGTAGCTAAGGTATCAAAATGCCAACAATCTGTGCTCATAAAAGTGAGTAAGAATTTCTTAGGGCAGAAATAACTGCTTTAACCCTCAGAGCAGTCAGAGTCCCCATGCAGGTCACTTCTGATAGCAAACAGCTTACTTCATTTTCTCTAGTGTATAGGAAAAATATTACCATCTTTTGGTGCCATGACTTGAAAAAGGTTGGCAAATACTAACTAGGGTCTTTAAACATGGAGAAAGCAGGACAATAAGGGTAAAAGCTTTGGAAGTCAGATCTATAGTTTCAATGTATCCTTTTGTGTTTCAAAACTAATCTTTCATTTAAATTATTGGTTCTTTCCCAATTGTATACCCTTGGCTTGCCATCAATTATCCCCACTCTTTCCTCAATTTTCAACTTCTCCCACTCTGCTGACTGCCTTCCCCAAACTGTGAATGTGCTTTTTCCATCTTAAAAAGAAAATCCCTCTAATTTCTAGCTACTTCTTTTCCACTTTCTTCCTTCATCGTCCAACTTGAAATTATATTCACCTGTTTCCTAATTGCTCATTTACTCCTCAATTCATAATTTGAATCCCCCCATTAACCCAATGATATTGCTATGTAAAGATTAACAACGGCCTCCTTATTGCCAAATCCAATGAAAACTTTTCAGATTTGTTCTTCATGAATTCCTAGGAGTATTTGACACTGTTGATTATCTTTTTATCTTAAAGTTCTTTTCCCTTTGCTTCTGTGTCACCAAAGTCTTCTGTTCTTTTGCCTCTTTAACAATTCTACTTGTCTCCTTCAATTTTTTCATCCTTCTCTTAAAAGCTGGAGTTTCCTAGGGTTCTACTGTCAGTTCTCTTCTCTCTTTACTCATGTTTTTCTCAGGTAGTCTTATCTATGACCATAGCATCCATATACCAAGGCTCCTCAAATCTCATCTCTAGCCCAGATCTCTCTCTTGAGCAAAACCCCACTAGACTCAATGTTCAAAAGTGAATTCAAACCGGGCTCGGTGGCTCAGCCTGTAATCCCGCGCCTTTGGGAGGCTGAGGTGAGTGGATTGCCTGAGCCCGCGGGTTCGAGACCCACCTGGGCAACTTGGCGAGACCTCCTCTCTACAATAAATAAAAAATTAGCCGGGCATGGTAGCGCGAGCCTGTAGTTCCAGCTACTTGGAAGGCTGAGGCCGAAGGATCGCTGGAGCCCAGCAGGTCGAGGCTACGGTGGCCAGGAGCGGCCACTGCACTCCAGTCTGGGTGACAGAGTGAGACTCCAACTCAAAAAAAAAAAAAAAAGTGAATTCAACATCATCTGCCTCCCACGAAATTTACTTACATTGTGTTCCATGGCCTAGTTAATGTTTTTCTTTTCTTTTTAGTGACAACCAAGAAGCACTGAATGGTTAACATCAATTGGCCAGTCAGTAAACCTTTAACTTAAGAATCTTTGGGCCGGGCTCGGTGGCTCTGCCTGTAATCCCAACACTTTGGGAGGCCGAGGTGAGTGGATTCTCTGAGCCCTCAGGTTTGAGACCCGTCCGGGCAACTTAGCAAGACCTCATCTCTACAATAATAATTTTTTTTTAAAAATTAACCAGGCATGGAAGCACACGCCTGTAGTTCTGGCTACTTGGAAGGCTGAGGAGGAAGGATCGCCGGAGCGTAGCAGGTCAAAGTTGCGGTGGCCGGGAGCATGCCACTGTACTCCAGTCTAGGCAACAGAGTGAGACTCAAAAAAAAAAAAGAATCTTTGACTTTTTTCCTCCTTATTATGCAATAACAAGCTAATATCACCAGTTTTACCACCTTTGATGCATCCTTCATAATGTGATCAGAGTGTTTTAGCAAATGTAAACCTGATTATTCTATACCCCAGTGTAAAATATTCAATTTCTTGCTTCCAAGTGCTACTAAGGGAAAAAAATCAAAATGTATTTTGCTCATGCTCAACTCTCAAATGCTTTCCAAATCAAATCATCCAAATTATCTATGCCCAAGGCAGAATTGTTCTCTGAGTCTTATGATATAGGACACTCCTGTTCTACCTTTTCCAGAAAGGCTGAACAAAGTGTAAGAAAAAGTGATTGTAGAGAAAAAAAAATGAAGTAAAGAGAAAATAGAACAGAGGTTTTCAGGATGCATAGCTGGTTAGAGACTAGCAGGGGAATAAAAATGCTCTGATTTTTGTCATTGTTTTCAAATAAAACCACAACTGAATACATATAAAAATAAGCAAATGAAGGCAAGGTGCAAGCTGTACAAATATAAACAGACAAGTGAGTAGAGCAGGCTATTAGGCGAGTAGAAAAGTCATGTTTGAAGTGTCACCGCCATTTGGGTAAATATCTGAAAATGCATAATTTTCTTCATTTTTATAATCTTAAAGAAAACTATGAGAATCGTACACGTTAACAGAATAAACAATGCTAGTTTTCATTTCATAATTTACATAGCCTATTTGATCTGTTTTTGAGAAATCCATCACAGTTTTGGAAGTTATGAAATATATTTTTCTTTTCTTTTTCTTTTTTTTAATTTTATTTGAGTTGGAGTCTCACTCTGTCACCCAGACTGGAGTGCAGTGGCCACTCCCAGCCACCGCAGCCTCGACCTGCTGGGCTCCAGCGATCCTTCCGCCTCAGCCTTCCAAGTAGCTGGAACTACAGGCGTGCGCTACCATGCCTGGCTAATTTTTTGATTTATTGTAGAGAGGAGGTCTCGCCAAGTTCGAGACCCACGGGCTCAGGCAATTCACTCACCTCAGCCTCCCAAGGCGTGGGATTACAGGCTGAGCCACTGAGCCTGGCTGAAATATATTTTTCTAGAAAATTGGAAGAGCATACCTCCTTGATCTTTCCAAAATTAGTCTTAAATTAATTAGACCGAAGTCCCTTATTCATGTTTGTGTCTTCAGTACCTAGCACAGAGCAGACACTTCAATAAATATTAATTGAATAAAGAACAGAAGGAAGAACAACACCATTCATAGGAGGCCCAGATACTCCATGTAGAAAAGAAAGGGCTCTCAGTTCTTGACACCTACCTGGTTTAGGGCCACATGCATCTGATCTACTAAGAACACATAGAGCTCACTGATAAATGTCTGCAGTTCCTCCTGACTTTCAAATGATGTTGTCTTCAAGTATTTCTCTCTCACGATCTTTACCACAGCATGCTGTAAGACACACAGGTCATCTGTCTGTTATCACAGTCTAGTACCGTGCTGATAGCACAGGTGTCTCTAGGGCCTCTGGTCTAAGACTGAGTAAAACTTCAGAAGGTAATTGATTTCTTACCCCTAATGACTGTTAGTCTATTGGCTCGCTGACTTTCCCCCAATCAACATACTCTGTATGAGCCCTTCTTTCCTTGACATCACTATCATCACTCACAGTGGCAATGCAGAACTCATACCATGTGAAGAGAGTCATACAGCTGAAGAAAATCTTAGCATTAGGTTTAGGTATTATGTCTCTCATGGGGCCATATGGTTCAAGGGAGAAAAGGAGAAAGGCCTCATCTGAGAGTCCAAAGAATGGGATTCTAGTTTTTTTGTTTTTGATTTTGTTTTTGAGTCGGAGTCTCACTCTGTCACCAAGGCTGGAATGCAATGGCACACTCATGGCCACCGTAGCCTCGGCCTGCTGGGCTCAGGTGATCCTTCTGCCGCAGCCTTCCAAGTAGCTGGAACCACAAGCATGTGCCACCACGCCCAGCTAATTTTTTTATTTTATTTTATTGTAGAGATGAGGTCTCACCATGTTGCTCAGGCTGGTCTCAAACCGCTGAGCTCAGGCAATCCTCTCGCCTCTGCCTCCCAAAGTTCTGGGATTACAGGCTTGAGTCACCACACCTGGCAAGATTCTACTTCTAATGCTGCTACTGTACAACCTCATAAGTTATTTTATACTTTGGTACCTCAGTTTCCTCATTTGTTGAGTGGATATGTAATTTGGTATTGTTATGTCGGAAGATGATTGAGAAACCAAAGAGAAATAATAGATGTAGAAGCTTAAAATGCAGTGCAAATATAAACATAGCATGTTTTATGACAAGGATAACTTCTTCTTTTTTCTCCCTAAGGTAATATTGTCAGGTTTTATACTAAGCACGATCCATGCATGTATCATTTAATTCTCATAATGACCCTTTGTGTTAATATTAGCATTGTCAGCCGGGCTCAGTGGCTCAGCCTGTAATCCCGCACTTTTGGGAGGCTGAGGTGAGCGGGTTGCCTGAGTCCACGGGTTCGAGACCCGCCTGGGAAACTTGGCAAGACTGCATCTCTACAATAAATCAAAAAATTAGCCAGGCATGGTAGCACGTGCCTATAGCTCAACTACTTGGAAGGCTGAGACGAAAGGATCACTGGAGCCCAGCAGGTCGAGGCTGCAGTGGCCGGGAGCGGCCACTGCTCTCCAGTCTGGGTGACAGAGTGAGACTCCAACTCAAAAAAATATATATATTAATAATGTCCTTTGTTGTGAGGTAAAGAAATTGAGGCATATAGAGGTAAAGTCACATGCCCAAGGTCACCCAGCTAGTAAAGGTAGAATCAGAAATTAAATCAAGAGATGATTACACCACCTGCTGAGAATACCCTCTTGCTCCCATGAGCATCAGCTGTTTTTCACTTTATTACTTGCATGTTCCTTCCTTGTATTTGTCTAGTATAGTGCACGTAGTAAATGTGCACAAAGAGGCAGCATAGTGTAGCTGTTAAGAAAATGAGTTCTGGAGCAAGACTGCCTGAATATGAATCCCAGCTTTGACCTTTACTATCTCTGTGACCTAGGGCAAATTACTTAACCAACTAATGTTGCATCTCGTCATCTGTGAAATGGGGAGTACTAATCTCATGCTATAAGGATTAAATTAGTAAAATATTAAGTATTAACAAATTTACCTGGCATACAGCACTCAATAAATGCTAGCCATTATTATTCAATAAATTATTATTAAGTTAACTATTTCTCAAAGTTTAGTGATTCTAGGGACTAGGGAGAGATCTGGATGGGAGACAGAGATAATTAGTTATAAAGTCAGTACCAGATGGAGAAACAATGAAACCTGGTCCAAAATCTGGCCTGACCTCAAGTAAAGAATCTGTTTCTTTCCTTTCCTTCCCTTTCCCCTTCCCTTTCCCTTTCCCTTTCTCTTTCTTTCTTTCTTTCTTTCTTTCTTTCTTTCTTTCTTTCTTTCTTTCTTTCTTTCTTTCTTTCAGTCAGGGTCTCATGCTGTCACCAAGACTGGAGCACACTAGCACGATCATAGCTCATCACAGCCTTAACCTCCTGGGCTCAGGCAATCCTCCTGCCTCAGCTTTCCGAGTAGCTGGTACTACAGGTGCATGCCACTATGCCTGGCTAATTTTTGTATTTTTTGTAGAGATGAGGTCTCGCTCTGTTGTCCAGGCTGGACTTTGCTGGATACTACTCTATGTTCAAATATCCTGGGCTCAAGCAATCCTCCTGCCTCAGACTCCCAAAGTGCTGGGATTACCACGTCCAACCAAAAATCAGTTTCTGAAAAGCTCACAATCAGAATGGATACTAAACCATTCCAAGACTGCAGGAATGGAATGTCTCCTGACATTTTATCATAGAGAACTTAGTTCTTTGCACTATGAGCAAGAGAGATAGAAATAGAGCTGAATTAACCAGATGAAAAAAATGCTAAAGTGCTCCATAAAAGCCCACAGCATAATTAAATAAATGAATGTTTTACCTTGAGCTGTTCTTTGAAGGCAAAGTATTTTCCAGAGCAATTAAGTTCATAGCTGAGCTGACACTTCTGCTCTTCCAGGGCTTCACTATCCAAATCACTCTCCAGTTTGGCCACCTGCTTTCCAAACATTCTATGATATTCATCCAGAATGGCCCTAGAAATGTTCTTGATCTGCATGTGGTAGTCACTCACCGCCTAAGAAAATACAAAACATTTGGTAAAGAGGCTTAAAGAGATCAAGACCATGGACTGAAAGTCTACAACTGGATTTGGTTTTATGTTCGATAATACTTTAGATATAAACTCCCCTGTTCTTCCCAGCTCAAAGAGCATCAGCCAAAGATTAAACATTGTCTGCTATTCACTATAAGCCACTGATCACAAATGGAACTAGGAATGAAAATATGTAAAACTTCAACAAGTTTTCACCCCTTATGGAAAACATATCAAAAAGCCCCTGTGATTTTCATATATATATAAAATTTTATTTTAAAGATGTGGGGTACAAACCAGGATTGGGTATATAAGATAGACAAGTGGGACATCATCAAACTGAAACACTTCTGCAATTTTTGAATGCATGCACATAAACATCTTATTACTTATAGTTTCCCCTTGGCTTTGGCACTTGCCTTCTGAGCTCCTCCTGTCCGACGGGTAAGGGGAGGCCTTGGAGGAATCATTTCCTTAACCCTGTACCAGGAAAAATAAATACAAAACAAAAAACACTTTATTATCTGCACATTTATATTTTCTTATATCCCACCTGCGAAGAATCTGGGTGAGGAAGCTATGAGGTCTGTTCCCCCACTGCCCTTGAGCACTGTGCTATTCTCTCATGTAAAACACTAGATCTGAACCCCAGCACAGTATATGGCTGTGAGGGAATCCAGGAAGCAGCTCCTCAGAAAAATATCTAAGTTATACTTTTGGCTAATTTGAGGCCTGGCAGTACCCCTATGCATTTTTAAAACCTGTTGTTGTACACAAGGGCTGTTTGACTAGAAGTCTGGAAAGAAATGGGTGCCATGATTTTAGGGGCACTCAGTAGAGTCTCTGAAAACACAAAGATTTGTAAATCTGGGTGGTATAGGCGAGTGAAAGTTTTTCTTCCCTCTCCATCTAGGTGTATTCTTGGTCATAATTTAGAGGATTATATTAAATTACAATAATGCTACTAAAATTTAAGATGAATAAAAAAACACATTTTGTCACTGTCAAATTACTTATGCCAAAACTTCTACCTTCCATTTTCAGGAGACCTTACAAGATCCTAAAATCTATTAAATTATAGCTCTTCTATAGTTTCTGATTCCAGCTAAATATATTGTACTGCCTTGAAGTCCACAACCAAACTCACAAAATCCTTTTTTTTTTTTTACTATGCCCTATGTAGTTGTACACCTCTATTCATAATTACTAATTGTAATTCTATTTATTTTAATAGGTAATATATTCATAGGATCTAAAATTTTAAAGGTATGAAACAATATACAGTAAATATTTCCTTTCAGCCTTGTTCAGCCTCCTAATTTCCTCTCCAGAGACAATGTTATTCACTTATTCATTCAAAATATATATGATTGCCTATTGTCCCAGATATTTTCTAGGTCTGGGAATCGAGTATTAAACAAAAAAAGACAAAAATTCTTGCCCTAATTGGAGCTTACATCTTAGTAGGGAAAGACAATAAACAAGATAAGTAATTAAGAGAAATATGCTAGTAATATCTGCCATGGAGAAAATAATGCAGAAAGGCAACAGACTGTGTTGGGGTCAGGAGGTGATGGAATGTGGGAGCCTGTCTCACCAGGGAATGTCTCAATGAGATGATAACATTTAAGTAAAGAGCTGAAGGAAGTTAGGAAAACAAGTCAGGTAAATACCCAGGATAAGGACATTTCAGGCAAGAGAATGGCAAGAATAAAGGCCTTACTGCAAGAATGTGCCTTGCATGTATGAGGAACAGCAAGGATGCCAGTTTGGATGGACTGAAAGAGTGAGGGCAAGACACATACAGAATGTGTGGCCATGGCAGGGGCAGTGAGTATAATGGGAAGTCCTGGTAATTTCTGAGCAGAGGCGTTAGATGTGTTGACTTCCATTTTAATGCAATCATTTTGGAATGCTGTATTAAGAATAAACTGTACAAATGTTCATCAACTTCTCAGTAGAAAAACAAAATATGGCTTACATATACAATGTTATATTATTTGGCAATAAAAAATGAAGTACTGATACAAGCCACAGTACAAATGAATCTTGACAACATTATGCTAGATCAGTGAAGCCAGTCACCACAAATTGCGTGACTCCATTAGTATGAAATGTCCAGAGTTGGAAAATCTTTTTTTTAAATCTAAACACCAACTCAAACCTGAAGGAATTGGCAGATCTATAAAGATAAAAAGTAGATATATGTGGGTGCTTAGGTCTGGGGAGTAAGGACAGAGGGGTTGGCATGATAGGAGAAAATAGAAGGTGACTGCTAATTTATATGGGGTTTCAATTTGGGGGGTAATGCTAATGTTATAAAGTTGATTATGGTGATGGCTGCACAATTCTGTGAATATACTAAAAACCACTGAATTTTACCCTTTATTTATTCATTTATTTATTATTCTTTAGAGAGAGAGTCTTGCCTATTGCCCAGGCTAGAGTGCAGTGGGGTGATCATAGCTCAGTGTACTTCACACTCCTGGGCTCAAGTGAGCCTTCCACCTCAGCCTCCAGAGTAGCTAGGACTCCAGGCTAATTTTTTTTTCTTACTTTTTGTAAAGACAGCGTCTTGCTATGTTACCCATGATGATCTGGAACTCTAAGCCTCAAGTGATCCTCCCGCCTTGATCTCCCAAAGTGCTGGAATTATAAGCATGGGCCACCACACCTAGCCTGAATTGTACATTTGAAATGGATAAAGTATATGGTATGTAAAATATATTTCAATACAAGCTTTTATTTATTTATTTTATTTATTTTTTTTTTTAGTTGGAGTCTTACTCTGTCACTCAGACTGGAGTGCAGTGGCTGCTCGCGGTCACCGCAGCCTCGACCTGCTGGGCTCTGGCTAAGCCTTCTGAGTAGCTGGACCTACAGGTGTGTGCTACCACGCCCGGCTAGTTTTTGATTTATTGTAGAGATGAGGTCTTGCCAAGTTGCCCAGGTGGGTCTCGATCCCGCGGGCTCAGGCAATCCACTCACCTCGGCCTCCCAAAGCGCAGGATTACAGGCTGAGTCACCGAGCCTGGTCAAAGCTTTTATTTTTATCTATCTTTGAGTTGGAGTCACACTCTGTCACCCAGGCTGGGGTGCAGTGGCATGCTCATGGCCAACCCATCGTCGACCTGCTGGGCTCAGGCAATCCTTTCGCCTCAGCCTTCCAAATAGCCGGAACTACAGGCCCAGCTAATTTTTTGTTTACTGTAGAGACGAGGTCTTGCCAAGTTGCCCAGACTGATCTCGAACACCCCAGGCTCAGGCAATCCACTTGCCTTGGCCTCCCAAAGTGCTGGAATTATAGGCTGAGCCACAGACCTTGGCCTAAATTTATATATTCTTATAAAGTGATATAGATTTAGCAATTTGATATTCACATGTCTCAGCCAGCAACCAAAGGCAAATAATCTTTTATGAGTATTCGGTACAATTTTCTACCATTGCCATTCTAATTAGCTTTTGTTCTATAATATCATCACTTGAACTAACTTGGTGGGTAAATCTGCCTACCACCTTCCTACAGCCAAAGAAAAAACATATAGCTCACCCAAAAAGTCCAAGAATATTTAAACATTGGTATAAGCATAATTTTAGAAGTACTACATATATAGTTAAACTAAATGAATAAAAAGTCTCAGGAGACACAGGTCATAAAAGTTGCCTCTGGACGGGGCTTGGTGGCTCAAGCCTATGATCCCAGCACTTTGGGAGGCTGAGGTGAGGGGACTGCCCAAGCCCACAGGTTCGAGAAAAGCCTGGGCAACTTGGCAAGACCTCATCTCTACAATAAATCAAAAAATTAGCCGGGCTAGTAGCACACGCCTATAGTCCCAGTTACTTGGAAGGCTGAGGTGGAAGGATCCCCTGAGCCCAGCAAGTCAACGCTGGGGTGGCTGTGAGTGTGCCACTGCATGCCAGCTGGGGCAGCAGAGGGAGACTCCAACTCAAACAAAACAAAACAAAACAAAACAAAAACGCTTACCTCTATATTTGGTGGAAAACTTTCATTTAGGATGCTGTTATTCTGTCACTCAGTATTCCCTATGTAGGAGCCTGAATGAGAAATCTGTTTTAGAATTTAATGCCAAGAAAAACTATGTTCTCTTTTCCCACTAGTGTGCTTCCTCCTTTAACGATTAGAATTATGTAACTAACAGGGCTTCTCATTTTGTTAGCTCAGATTTGAAGCTTACTCATGAGAGCTCTATTTAACATTGCCTCTCTTTTTGTTTCCATGGTTTTGAGCTTTTAACTATTTCTAGATTATCACCTCGTTTTATATATGTCATTTATGGTAAATATTCTGTTTGTTTTTGGAAAAGGGCTAAATGCAAAAAAAAATTTTTTTCACTTTTAAAATTTTTATTTTATTTTAAAGATGTGGGGTACAATTCAGGGTTAGGTATACAAAAGTTGATTATGCAGGTACCCTTGTTGATGAGGTATTCCCTCCCCCCCAGTTTCCCTCAACTGCCAATCCCTTTCTTATAGTATTAGGATAATTGTTCAAGGCCCATTTATTAGTGAGAACATATGGTACTCCGTTCTTTGTTTCTGTGATAGATCACTGAGTAAGAGAGATTCTAAATCCATCCAAGTTGCTGTGAAGTCCATATGTTTGTCCTTCTTTATGGCTAAATGCAAAAATTTAAGTTTAAGAACTCTCTAAAAGATGAATGTGCGGTTGGGTACAGTGACTTATGTCTGTAATCTCAGCACTTTGGGAGTCTGAGGTGGGAGGATTGCTTGAATGTAGGAATTTGAGACCAGCCTGGGCAACACAGCAAGACTCAATCTACAAAAAAAAAAAATTAGCCGGGCATGGTGGCACAAGTCTGTAGTCCCAGCTATTCGGGAGGCTGAGGTGGGGAACTGCTTAAGCTCAGGTAGTGGAAGCTGCAATGAGCTAAGATCACGCCACTGCACTCCACTCTCAGTGACAGAGCAAGACCCTTTCTCTTTCTCTCTCTCAAAAAAAGAAACAAAACCAAACAAAAGATAAATGTGCCGCTATAAGCAGGTAATTCTCAAAAGGAAACTTCTAATGACTAAAAAATGTGTAAAAAAAAGTCTCTGCCGGGCTTGGTGGCTCAGCCTGTAATCCTGTCCCTTTGGGAGGCTGAGGTGAGTGGACTTCCTGAGCCCGCGGGTTCGAGACCCGCCTGGGCAACTTGGCGAGACCTCATCTCTACAATAAATCAAAAATGAGCCGGGCGTGGTAGCGTGCGCCTGTAATTCCGGCTACTCGGAAGGCTGAGGCGGAAGGATCGCCGGAGCCCAGCAGGTCGAGGCTGCGGTGCACCGCACTCCAGTCTAGGCGACAGAGTGAGACTCCAACTCACAAAAAAACAAAGTATAATGTGAATTATAATTAAAATGAAAAACTTTCTACACCAAAATAAAAAATTATGTGTTGATAAACAGTAGTCTCATACATCATTTGTAGAGTGATAAACTTTTTGGAAGGCAATTTAGAGATATTTATTAAAGTGTGCAAAGTAAATAGTCTCCAAGGTGAAAGCCACCATTTCCTTTCATCCTTCTTTGAACATGCTCGCACCAAGAGGTTAAAGTCCAGACTTCGGCAAAATGGCAGATTAAACTCCCATCCCTTCAAAGAAACTTTTAAAAAACAACCAGAAACTGGCAGAATCAACTTTCAGAATGCTGAAAAACAGCCACAGGTTTATAGCAACCAAGAGAATACTGAAACAAGAAAAAGGCAATATAAAAACAGTAGGGGGCAACCCCCTCGGGTCTCCTCCCACTGTGGGAGCTTTTCTGTCCTCTCAATAAATCCTGCTTTCAAAAAAAAAAAAAAAACAGTAGGAAAGCTTTGTGGCATTTTTACTTGCTCTTGCCCTATTGGATTTGCAGCTCAGCAGCAGTCTTGAAGATGGCAGCCTGGGTTTCCAGGCTGAAGGACGGACGCAAGACATTCATCTCTGTTTCTCCTAACTCAGAGTGGAAAAGCACTGAAATCTACTCAGACTGAAAAAGCACTGTTCAAAAACATTGTACAATTATCAAAACCCTGCAGCTGCTTGGGGCAAAAGATTATGGTTGAGACATAAAATAGACCACCTAAGGCCTGGGAGGAAAAGCTAGAGTTTCTTTGGGAAATTAGAACATTCAAAATTACTTGAGTCAAGTGAGTTGGGCCTGGTGGCTCTTACCTGTAATCCCAACACTTTGGGAGACAGAGGAGAGAATTGCCTGAGCCCAGGGATTTGAGACTAGCCTGGGCAAGTTGTTAAGACCTCGTCTCTACAATAAATAAAAAAATTAGCCGAATGTGGTGGCACGTGCCTATGGTTCCAGCTATTTGGAGGGCTGAGGTGGAAGGATCACCTGAGCCCAGCAGGTTGAGGCTACAGTGGCTGTGAGCATATCACTGCAGTCCAGCCTGGATAACTGGGTAAGACTCCAACTCAACAACAACAAAAAAAGTACTCGTGTAAACTGGGGGATTCAGAAACCACATATATGCCCAGGACAGATTGAATACTCTAAAAAGACCAGAGAAGAACTTAAGATTTCATCAATAAATGATTTTATAGACAGTGTAAGCAGGAAGTAAAGGCTGAGGTGGAAATATAATCATCCTGGTTAAGGGGTAAAAATGTTACAAGGCTCTGCCCTCGGAACAAAAAGCTGTCTGCAAAGACAGGCAGTGTGGGGACAAGAGTTATTTTATTTTAAATGCGAATCCACTAACTCCAAGTCCAGGATTACATCCAAAATGTCTAGTTGATGCGTTATGTTTTATGTAGGAACACCTATTCATTGTAAGTTTCACTTTTCCTCCAAAACAACCCTTGCTACTACTGCAGAAATCAGAGGCTGTGATGCTCATAGCCACTAACACATTTCCTTCCAAAGCACACATACTTTCCTAAAGATATAATCCCCAGGTCTTGGGGGTTGTAGTGAGGAGATCTACTCATCATGTGGCTGCCCAAGACCCACTTTTGTCTGTAAACTGACGCTAATGGATCACTCTGTACCAACAAGCTGGATCTGTCTTCCTCCTTCTTTGGTTTCTCAGCTCCTTTGGCATTTGGGGGATGCTTTGCATATACAGTCCTTTCACAAGCCGGCAAGTTTTTTTGTTTTGTTCTAATTTGTTTATATCAATATCCTAGTATTCAATAAATTTCAGTCAAAACATTGGCTAACATAAGTCAAACCTTCAACAATCAAGAACAGCAAACCTAGGGGAAGGAGAAAATTGGACTTCTGAAGTTCCCACCTTATAGTATCTAAATGTCCAGTTTTCAACAACAACAATAAAAACTTGCAAATAATACAAAGACACAGGAAAGTTTGACTTTTTCAAATAAAAAACAAAAAAGAAGACTGGGCACAGTTTCATGCCTATAATCCTAACACTCTGGGAGGCCAGTGTGGGAGAACTGCTTGACCCCAGGAGTTCAAGGCCAGCCTAGGCAACATAGTGAGACCTCTCTGCAAAAATTTTTTAAAATTTGCCAGGAGTGGTGGTGCATGCTTGTGGTATCACTTACTTGGGAGAGAAACAGTTCTACAATAGTAGAGACTTCAATATCCTACTTTCAATAATGGATAAAATAACCTGACCAGAGATTAATAAAGAAATATGGGACCTGAACAATATTATAAACCAATTAGGCCTAACAAACATATAGAGAACACACCATCAAATGATAAATTAATACATATTTTTCTCAAGTACACACAGACCATTTTGTAGGACAGACCCTAAGATGGGCCCCAAAACAAATCTTAAATCTTAAAAGATTGAAATCATGTGAAGTATCTTTTCTAGTCACAATGGAAAAACTAAAAATCAATAATAGAAGGAAGATTGGAAATTTCACAAATATATGTTAATTAAACAACACATCGAAACAACCAATTTCAAAGAATAAATCACAAGGAAAATTTTTAAAATACTAAAACTTTGAAACAGACAAAAATAAAAAAGAGCATATCAAAATGTATAAGATGCAGTGAAATCAGTGCTCAGAAGAAATATACAGCTCTAAACATAGACATTAAAAAAGAAGAATGAGACTCCAACTCAAAAAAAAGAAAGTCTGGGTCTGGTAGCTCATTCTTGTAATCTCAGCACTTTGGGAGGCTGAGCAGGGCAATCACTTGAGGTCATTTGTGGTGGTGTGTTACTACGGTCCCAGCTACTTGGAAGGCTGAGGTGAAGGATTGCCTGAGCCCAGCAAGTTGAGGCTGCAGTGGCTATGAGCATGTCACTGCACTCTACCTGGGTGACAAAAGTGAAACTCCAACTCAGAAAAGAAAAAGAAAAAAGAAAGAGAGAAGATTTAAACTACTCAAATCAGAAATGAAAGTGAGGACATACTACCATTTTTTTTTTTAAACAGGGATGAAAAGGATTATAAGAAAATACTATGGGCTGGGTGTGGTATCTTATCTCTGTAATCCCCACACATTGAGAGGCCAGAGGCAGGAGGATCCCTTGAGGCCAGGAGTTCAGATCAGTCTGGGTAACATAATGAAGTCTTGTCTTTACAAAATAAAAATAGAAATTAGCCAGGTGTGGTGGCATGCACTAAGGTCCTAGCTACTCAGGAGGTTGAAGTGGGAGGATCACGTGAGCTCAGGAGTTCAAGGTTATAGTGAGCTCTGATTGTGCCACTGCACTCTGGCCTGCATAACAAAGTAAGACCTGTCTCAAAAAAAAAATAGAGTGAATACTATAAACAACTGTATGTGAATGAACTGAATAAAATGCACAACTTCCCAGTGGCACACAAGCAAAGCAATATGGTACAATAGGATAGCACCAAGGTGTTAAAAGTAATTACTGCAGGGCTCTGTGGCTCAGCCTATAATCCCAGCACTTTGGGAGGCCGAGTGGATTGCCCGAGCCACTGAGTTCAAGACCAGTCTGGACAGCTTGGTGAATCCTGTCTCTACAATAAATCAAAAATTAGCCAGGCGTGGTAGCGTGCGCCTGTAGTTCCGACTACTTGGAAGGCTGAGGTGAAAGGATCGCCTGAACCTACCAGGTCGATGCTGGGGCAGCCGTGAGTGTGCCACTGCACTGCAGTCTGGGCAACAGAGTGAGACTCCAACTCAAAAATAAAAATAAAAAAAAGTAGTTATTACTAGGTGAGCAGAAATCTTTGTGTTTTTATATACTTTCTTGCTCATCTTGATTTTCTAAGATTTTTTTTTTTGTACTGAGTACATGATGCTATTGTAATAAGGAAACAACGATAACAAAATTTCATCTGGAAAACCAGAAAAATGCTGCTTAGCCCAGAGAAATTACAATTGTAGAGATAATCTGATTTCCTCTTATTTATGCCCAAATTGTGCAAAACAAGTATGATACCCATTGCTACATACCTTCTGGCCAACTCTTCTGGCATTCGCTTTGGAACTAAGGCTTTGTCGAGTTGAATCTCCAATACAATGTATGTCCCTGCTTCTACATATTGCTGTAATGACATTTTTTTGTCATTTGTTATTTCCAGGAAAAAAACATACTTATGAAAAAAATTAGTAACATAATAGTCACAATATAAGTGAGAAAACTGCATGTTTAACTACATATAAGCGTGATCTAAACTATTAAAATATTCTATGGAAAAATAACTGAAAAGAAATATCGCAACAGTGGTTATCTCTTTAACTATGAATTTTTTTTTTTTTTTAGTCCTTATGATTTTTTTTTTCTTTTGAGTTGGGAGTCTCACTCCTTCACCCAGGCTGGAATGCAGTGGCACGAATGCTCACGGCCACCGCAACCTTGATCTGCTGAGCTCTGGCGATCCTTCTGCCTCAGCTTTCCGAGTAGCCGGAACAACAGACATGCTACCACCACCTGTTTTTCATTTGATTGTAGAGATGAGGTCTTGCTAAGTTGCCCGGGCTGGTCTCGAACCTGAGGGCTCAGGCAATCCACTTGCCTCGCCCTCCCAAAGTGCTAGGATTACAGACTGAGCCACCAAGCCCGGCCTTAACCGTAGTTATATCTTAGCGGAAAGGGCTTTCAATTTTATTATTGGACCTCTACCTCAGCTGAAACCCTGTTTAACTTACATTCTTACATTCCCACTCAATCTCCTCATTGCTACCTACCAGCTCTGACCGCAGAACACTTCTCAGATTTTTGCCAGAATCCTAACTACAATGTGTCCAAATTCCCCAATATCAATCTCTCTTTTGACTTTTTTCTTAATGGCATTGTCATCCTTCCAGAGACTGAGGCTTGAAACTTGAGTTATCTTTAACTTTTCTTCATCAATACACACAAAGCTTCTCAATTCCAAATACCTTGCCTCTGCAGGTTTCCGACTTTCTTTTTTGCTACAACCTCTGCCCTAAGTCAAACTGTCATCAACATTCATCTGTACGATACCCTACTCCACTTTCGATCTCCTTTTTTCAAATCCTTATAAGAATTCCAGACTGAAACACATACGAAGTCCTATTTCTATGTAAGCTTAAAACCTTTTTTTTTTTTGAGTTGGAGTCTCACTCTGTTGCCCAGGCTGGAGTGCAGTGGCATGATCACAGCTACTACAGTCTTACCCACCTAGGCTCAAGTGATTCTTCCGCCTCAGCTTCTCAGGTAGCTGGGACCACAAGTGCACACCATCTCACCCAGCAAGCTTTTTTATGTGTTGTAGAGATGAGGTCTTGCCATGTTGCCCAGGCTGGTCTTGAACTCTTTGGCTTAGACAATTCTCTCGCCTCGGCCTCCCAAAGTGCTGGGAGCCACTGTCCCTGGCCCATTTAAAAACCTTTGATGTGAGTCTCCAAGAAATTCAATTGTTTCTCAACAGATATAAAATAAAGTCCAAACTTTAAAACAAACCTTTCAAGTATTTCCATAACCTGACTCAGCCTCTCTCTTCTTTCTCACCTCTTTCTAGAATCTCTCCTTTCTTTTCATTCCTCTAAATACCATACACAGGATTAATTGATGTACCCTAAATTCTGCTCTTGCAAATTCTTTCTGTGTCTTGACTCAAGCTGTTCCTTGGCCCTGAAACGCCTCTCCCTTCATCTTTAATCTAACAAAGAGTTCTCTTCATCGTTCACTACTTAGTTTGGATACTACTTCTTCCGTGAAGACTTCCCTGAGACTGTCCTAACCTAATATATATCAATCTTTGTCTCCTCTGAACCCACACAGAACTTTTATTTGAACCTCTATTACAGCATTCATGTATTTATTATAGTCAATAGGTACTGTCTGTTTCTTCTTCCTACCAGATGGCTGAGTTTCCTGAGGGTAGATGGATAAATGCTGCAGATGATGCATCTTTGCATCCCTCATAGTGTTTAACAGTATAATACAAGACATACAACTTTAATGCTAGAGAGGACCTTAAAGTTAATTCATTTCGCAGTCTCAACAAGATAAAAAAATTTCCCCAAAGTCATAAACTAGTTATAGGTAAATATGGGATGGCAACTAATAACCTGCCCTAAGCATTTTCTTTCTTCATTGCTTTTCTCAGTAAAGGTTTGATGTGTTTAACCTTAATTTACCAAAATTTTATGCACAGTTACCTGTCCTTCTGGATTGTTGCTTAGAAGGGGTTCACTTTCCAAAGGAGTATCCGAGCTCTGAGATTTGATACTAGGTGCTTGCTGAAAGAAAATGAACACAACTCAGAAACTGAATTCTTACATGGTCTTCATAACAGCAGGAACAATGATTCTTACATTGCATCAAACTGCAAACCAAATGAGAAATCAGTGCAAGCTTCTGCAATGTACATCATCACCTTCTCAGCAACCTACCACATCCCCAGGCCTCGGCCTTCCATCTATATCCTTTTCTTTGACTGTTTTATCTTCTTTCAGATTCTTAGAAACAACTTGTTTGGACAGTGGAGAATTAATTCCTCCTATTTTATTATTATGATGGCCAATATCCCGGAACAAGCTGAATAAACACTTGGTCTGAAAAGAAACCAAAAATGTAATGAATTGTAGGCAAATGAGATCCACTTAAAAGAAACCCATATGTTTTTTTAATAATGTAATTTTCCACATAATTTCTTTCTTTTTTTTTGAGTTGAAGTCTCACTCTGTCGCCCAGACTGTCTCTCCCGGCCACCGCAGCCTCGACCTGCTGGGCTCTGGCGATCCTTCCGCCTCAGCCTTCCGAGTAGCCGGAATTACACATGCGCTACCACACCCGGCTGATTTTTTGATTTATTGCAGAGATGAGGTCTCGCCAAGTTGCCCAGGTGGGTCTCGAACCTGCGGGCTCAGGCAATCCACTCCCCTCAGCCTCCCAAAGGCGCGGGATTACAGGCTGAGCCACTGAGCCCGGACATCAGAATGATTTTAATCTTTGATATGTAATTTCCAATGAACTTTTAAGTGTTATAATTCATTTCTATACAAGAAATAATTATCTGTCTAGTCACTACTGACCTATCAGTGGTAACTGAAAGAATAAGGCAAGTTTAAAGTTCAAAGTAAAACCTTTGTATGCAAAGATTCAAACTATAGATAAATGACTGGATAGGAATCTTACAATTTTTTTCCTTAAAAATTTTTTTGAAATAAACAACAGTTTTAAAATTAAACAACATGGATGATTCTCAAAATAATTTATGTCAAATGAAAAAAGCAAGACAAAAAATGGGGGCGGGAAGAGAAGAGGAGTGGACAGAGGTGGGAGAAAGATAACAGATGGCATAGGAAAGCTTTGGGAAGTAATGCATATGTTCATTATCTTGATTGTTGTGATAGTTTCACAGATGTATATATATGTCAAAACTTTAAAGTTGTACACTTTAAATATATGTAGTTTATTTGTGAATTATACTATAATAAAGCTATTAAAAAGACAATACAATATTAAATAAAAATTGTAAATACCAAAAATCACACACAATCTTACCACCTGTACCATAATTACTATATTTCTTTCTTTTTTTTTTTTTGAGTTGGAGTCTCATTCTGTCATCTAGACTGGAGTGCAGTGGCCGCTCCCGGCCCCTGCAGCCTCGACCGGCTGGGCTCTGGCAATCCTTCAGCCTCAGCCTTCCGAGTAGCTGGAACTACAGGCATGTGCTACCATGCCCCACTAATTTTTGATTTATTGTAGAGATGAGGTCTCGCCAAGTTGCCTAGGTGGGTCTCGAACCCATGGGCTCAGGCAATCCACTCACCTCTGCCTCACAAAGTGTGGGATCACAGGCTGAGCCACTGAGCTCAGCTCATTTCTTTTTTGGAAAACAGTTTTATTGAGATATTTGCTTTCCATACAATTCACCTATTTAGAGTGTACAATTCAATTATGTGGGGATATTACATCATTAATAGTTCATTCTTTTTCTTTTTTCTTTTTTTTTTGAGTTGGAGACTCACTCAATGACCCAGGCTGGAGGGCAGTGGCACGCTCATGGCCACCATAGTCTTGACCTGCAGAGCTCAGGTGGTCCCTCTGCCTCAGTCTTCCAAGTAGCTGGAATTACAGGCATGCTGTCACCATGCCTGGCTAATTTTTTGATTTATTGTAGAGATAAGGTCCCGTCAAGTTGCTCACGCTGGTCTCAACCCCTGGGCTCAGGCAATCCTCTTGCCTCAGCCTTCTAAGGTGCTGGAATTATAGACATGAAACACTGTATCCAGCATGAATATTGAAATTTCTAAATATTACTATCACACTACTTCTTTCAATTTTGTTGACTTTGGCTTCAAGCATTATGAGATTATTGTATCGTTAGGTGTGTATAAATCCATAACTTCTCTATCTTCCTGATGCATTGGCCCTTTCATCATTATGACTTGCCACTCTGACTTCAGTGATATGTATTTCTTGTCTTTTTTTTTTTTTTTTTTGAGTTGGAGTCTCACTCTGTCACCCAGACTGGAGTGCAGTGGCCGCTGCCGGCCACCGCAGCCTCGAACTGCTGGGCTCCGGTGATCCTTTCGCCTCAGCCTTCCAAGTAGCTAGAACTACAGGCACGCGCTATCACGCCTGGCTCATTTTTTATTTATTGCAGAGATGAGGTCTCGCCAAGTTGCCCGGGCAGGTCTCGAACCCATGGGCTCAGGCAATCCACTCACCTCAGCCTCCCAAAGCCCGGGATTACAGGCTGAGCCACCGAGCCTGGCTTATTTCTTGTCTTAAAGTCTATTTTGTCTGATATTAATGTACTCAGCTCTATTATGTTTTCTGTTTATATAGTATATCTTTTGTATCTTTTTACTTCTACCTATTTGTATCTTTGAATCTATAGTATGTCTACTTTAGACAGTATGTAGTTGAATCTTGAATTTTAAATTTAGTCTCTGTCCTTTCATTGGTGTTTAGACCACTCATATATAATGCTATCATTGAAATGCTTAAATTTATGTTTTTCTTTTTTTTTTCTTTTGAGTCAGAGTCTCACTTTGTCACCCAGGCTGTAGTGCAGTGACATGTTCCCGGCCACCACAGCCTCAACCTGCTGGGCTCAGGCAATCCTTCTACCTCAGCCTTTCAAGTAGCTGGAACTACAAGTACATGCCACCACACCCGGCTAATTTGTTTTTTTTTTTTTTTTTAGAGACGAGGTCTCCCCATGCTGCCCAGGCTGGTCTCAAACCCACAGGCTCAGGCAATCTTCTCGCCTCTACCTGCCAAAGTGCTGGGCTTACAGGTATGAGCCAACGCACCTGGCTTTGTTTTCTGTGCTAGTTGTTCTATCTTCTTTGTTCCTCTCTTCCTCCTTTAACTGTCTTTTTTGATGCTAAATATTTATGATGTCCCATTTAATTCCTTCGTTGATATATATACACACATACATGTATACATGTATATGTATACACACACAATTTTCTTTAAGGTAGGGATTATAATATGCATCCTAACTAACCACAATATATTTCACATTAATACTAACTTAATTCTGGTAAAGTATAGAAACTTTGCTCCATAATAGCTCCATTCTATCATCCTTCCTTTATGCTATTATCATACAAACTAAATCTATATATATTATAATCCCAACAATATAATTAATACCTTATCCAGTCATGTCTTTCAAAGAAGAGCAAATATTATCGAAATATATTTCTAAATTATTTTACATTAACCTATATTTAACTATTCCAAGTGTTCTTCATTTCTTCTTATGGATTCAAGTTAGTCTTTAGTCATTTCCTTTTAAGCTGAAGTATTTCCTTTAGTATTTCTTGTAAAGTAGGTTTGCTGTCAACAAATTCTTTCACATTTGTTTATCTGGGATGTATTTGTTTCGCCTGTTTTTTGGTAGGTAGTTTTGTTTTTCATTCAGAATTCTGGATATGTTATGCCATTACCTTTAGGTCTCCATTGTTTCATCTGTTAACTATATTGGCTTCCCTGGAAGTAATTAATTGTTCTTCTCCATTGCATTCATGATTTTCTCTTTGTCCTCTTTCAACACTTTGACTGCAGTGTGTTTATAGTGTTCTCTGTGTGCTTATGCTGTCTGGAATTTTCTAAATTCCTTGGATATGCAAATCAATGTTTTCATCAAAAGTGGGATGTTTTCAGACATCATTTATTCATATATCTTTCTCTCTTCTCTCCTGGGACTCTCATTAAAAATATGTTGGTTACCTTCCACCAAGATGGCTATTTCAACTGACATTATTCTGGGTATTGTCCTTCAACTACTGCTCTCTCCATGACTGTGGCAGCAAAATTCCTGGTCCTCACAGCCTATCCTGCCCTAGAAGAATCTCTGCATTAATTGAGCTAAAGGTGGGGATGAGGAATACAGAGCATTCCCAGGCAAAAATGCCTCAAACTCCTTAGATTTTCATGTATTAGTACTTCTCAGTTTGTTGATGCCTTTGGTCATTTCAGGGGTGCTGAAATGGCTATTTGTTAATTTATCCTGCTTAATAGTTGTTTTGGGGAGCAAGGTGATTTGCCAATCTTCTCACTTGGCCATAGCCAGAAATATTCCCCCTTTAATATTTTCTAGATATTAAAAAGTTGTTTGTGAAAAAATGTAACTGTATTTATATTCTGCTGACTTTTCACAGACCACCACACGCATCCTCTCATATTTTAAAATTTTTCATATTTACAATTTTTAACTTATGCAATATTCTCCTATCATATGTGTACAACAAAAATGATATAGCTAAAATTGTCTGTGTGCCAACCACATTTCTAATGCTTTGTAGATTTTATCTCAATTAATAGGTAAAACAATTCTAAAAAGCAAGCACTGTCTAAATTTTACTGATGAATAAAGTAAAGGTGAGAGAAATTTAGTCACTTGTTCAAAGTCACCCAGCGAGTAAATGGCAGCTCCAGAATTCTAGGCTGCCTGAGTGGGTTACCAAAGTCTTTAACTTTTCTATTATGATACACTATTTCCCTCAATTTCACCAAGAAAAGCTCCATGTAGAAAGGTTTAAATTCATTTCTAATAATTCCTTTCAAATAAATTCCTAGAAGTAGAAGTCCTATGGGAAAATATATAATTTTTTAAGCTTTTGAATACATATGGACAAAATTCTTTTTGCAAAATGTTTGTACAAATTTACACTTCAACCAGTGAGTGGTGTATGAAAGTTGTTTTACCACACCTTTGCCACTAATGGGCATTATCATATCTTAAAGAATTGCCTAATTTTATAAGCAAAATAACTTATTCTTATTTAAATTTGCATGTATTTAATTAATGAATAAGGTCAGATTTTCTTCTTAACATTTATTGGCCATGGACACTTCTTTTGTGAACAGCTATTCCATGTACCTTGCCCACTAAACAAAGTTAGTGTATTTTTCTTCCAGATTGAAAAATTGCTTTATATTTTAGAAATAGTAGCTACCTTTCTGACATGTATTCAAGTATCTTCCCTGGCTTTTCAGTGACACTGTAATTTTATGATGGTTTCTTTTATATATAGAAACTTTTCACCAGGTGCGGTGGCTCACTCATAGTCCCAGCACTTCAGGA